ATGGAATGGTATTGATGTACTACTATTGCTTGATCTAACCACTGCTTATTTTGCTTTTGCATGATGTTGATCTCATACTTGATCTAACTATAGATTTTGATTATGTTCATATTTGCTAGCCTTCGTTTTCATGACAAACTTGGGGGAGGGGGGACTCAAACATGAGCACACTCGCTCAGGGAGCTGGGCACTCTACCAATGTTTTATTATTGGGCTCTTGCCTTTTCTGTATAGTTTCTCAATCAATATACTTCCGCTTTTTACCAAAGAAAAAAATTCATTCTCTCTAGCTCTCTCCAGTCACATTCAGATTATCTTTCTATGAAGAAGAAATGTTCATATTATGTAACCATTGGCTTTTGAAAGTTTTTTATGTGAAATTTGTTTATGTACAAGTCCATAATTTAGATAGTTACGTGTAATGGGTGGGCGCTTACCCATTTACCCAAAAGTTTAAGTTATTGGGTAATGTTGCATATCCACTCATTTATACTCCCATTCACTTTTCCACCTGGATTCGATGTGGGACAAGCTTTCCCTTGTTACATTCTTCCCCACCCGAACTTGCAACGGGCTCGTTGCGGCTCGGGCTACCCCGCCTACCCGGGGTGTAGGCTCGGATGCCCTCCGGGCCGAGCGCTTGGCGTGACATCGGATTAAGGACCGGGTTTGGCTCTGATACCAACTATTAACGGGTGGATAGTTGTCCATTTATTCAAAAGCTTAAGCTATTGGGTAGTGCTGCATATCTACCCATTTATACCCCCATTCACTTTTCCATCTGAATCCGATGTGGGACAAGCTCCCCTTGTTACCTTAGGCCACTATGTTCCATGCTTCTAATCTAATTTATGAAACAAAAAAGGCATGGAAAGATGTTATTGTTATACTCTTTTTTTTTTTTTTTGATTTCTTTAATTAAAAACATTATAAACTTGAGCCAAGTCATAAGAATTATATTGTTTAATGGTTTGAATGATTATTTAGAGGAAAGTTTTCATCGATAAAAATGTATTGGTTGAATTTTTGTATACCCTGGGTACCTAGTGATACGTTTTGATTACTAGCAATGAACTGAGAAATGAGTAATAGTATGTATTCTTTTCTTTTCTTTTCTTTTTTGTTTTCTGAAAATAACATGGCTTTGTCATCTCATTTGCAATTCATGCTTTTAATTATTTAATAAGCAAAGATTTATATTTCATTATCACACTACATTCAACTAAATGATATCAATTCGATGCTGAGTTTCAGTGTAATGGCATTGAAAGAGAACATAGATAGCTTTGGTCATGTACTCTTCATTCATCAATCCATTGAAAAAAAAAAAAAAAAAAAAAAAAAAAAAGAGAGAGAAAAAAAAAGAAAAAAAAGTTGCATAATTTGGAATTTTGTTGACCAAATTATAATTAACTTATGATTATTGCTAAACACTATTATTTATATTATAGTCCATTTTTTTCAACAAAATTCTTTTAAATAAATTTTCTTAACCAAATTCCAATATTTTTGCACACATTATCAATTTTTTATTTTTTTTTATTTTTATTTTTATGGAATTACCAATCATAAAGGTTGGGTTACCTCCATAGATGACTCTCTTATGAGCTTAGCCCCATCCCTGGACATATCTAAGATCATCCCCTAGAAAGACCTTTGATTAGTTGATCAACTATATTCTTCTCAGATCTCACAAACTCTAAAAAGATTACTCGCTTTCTCAATAGTCTTTTCACAAATTTGTATCTCACTCCTGAATGTCTATTCATCTTCTTCTTGTTTGTATGAGATTGATTCACTAAATAAATAACCACCTTACAATCACATTGTATCAATATCGCTATAAGTTCATATTCCATTCTAACCTCGAGATAATAGTTTGTTACTCCTCCGAAGAAAAACATGTGCTTAACCACTAGTTGATTATTGGTTATCTTTTCCACTTCACTTGAAATCTTTATAGCACAAAGAATAATATACTAAGATATTATTATTCTTGAAGTCTTAAGATATTTAAATACTTTATCTAATGTCATCCAATGATGGGATTATGTGTATATCTAGTAATTAATCTACCAACAACTACAAAAAAAGGCTGAACTTTTATTTTTTTATTTTTTTTTTATAACAAGGAATTTATGAGGCGGGGACTTTGCGAGTTGTTAAAGTCTCTTTCACCAGCACATTTAGCATTAGGCTGCAAATTTATAAGGTAATTTTCGTTGCACGTCATAAATTTTTATATTTACAAAATGCTCTACTCATTGTTAATAGAAAAATGCTAATACTTCACAAATTTAAATTTGTGATTTTATCTTAAATTAGGTGATTGTTTCTTTGTTAGCTTATTTGGCTACTTTGTGTGTTTTAAAAGCAATCTTTTTAATATAGAAACATCTTAATATAGGAAAGAGATAAAACTCTAATATAACTTAATAAATTGAATTCAATTCTAACCATCTTCTTTTGGGAGACCTTTTATATTAAAAGTAGAAGATGTAATTTTACCATGAATGAGTAATGTCTTTCTCGTGAATAAGAACTGATAAGGAGTCTTCACCTAGGAAGTTTGACCGTTATACAAAGTTTATAAAGATGGTAAGTTCCAGCGTCTTGGATACAGATGAAGGGAGGTTCATCATCCGTGTTGAAGAAGTAAAGGGTATAACTCTCTTATTTTAATGCAACTTGATACCTCTATAAAGAGGTGGTTAGGGTCAACAGAAAAGGTACAACAAATCCCTAAGAAAATCATTTCACCTTATTTCTATCCTCCTGATTTAGCAAGGACTTTATCGTCGGAGGCTCTTAGGCCGGTACCACACCGGTACCTTCTCGATCATCTTTCTCTTTCTCTTTTAGGTACAACGTCATTCCTGGTCGCCGCAAAATCTTACATCAACAGTTGGCGCCGTCTGTAGGAACCTTTACAATGGTTCTCAAGTTGCGATCTGGAACTCAAGTAGGAGGTCAACCTTAACCACACCATAGCAGAGATCACCAGTCACATCATAATGGCGGTAACCAGTCAGATGGTGGTCACCAGTCACATCATAATGGTGGTAACCAGTCAGATGGTGGTCACCAGTCACATCATGATGGCAGTAACCAGTCAGATGGTGGTTACCAATCACACCACGGCAAACACCAATCCAATGGTACTCACCAATCACACCGCGATAGCAGTCACCAATCACACCATGACGGTGGTCACCAGTCACATCATGACCGAGGTCACCAGTCACGCCATAATGGTAGTCGCCATAGCCAATCCCATTGTAGGAGGGATAGCTCACGTAGTACCAAGTCCCATGCCAGGGGAGATTGGTCGGTGCATGCTTCCTGTCATAAGAATGCACCTAGGTGTATTCTAAATGACTGGGAACGTGTCGTAACGTTGGAACAACAGATCCATAACCTTAGTCAAGGCATGAATCAAATGGTCCAACAAAATGAAGCAATTATGCAATACCTAGCAATCCCCGTTGTATGTGCTGAAGGCAATGACGATGCTAATAAATTAGAGCATAGTAGAACGGGAGATCGACAAAGAGCATATATACTGAGGCTACCTATGTGGACCAATAGATCCAAGATCTTAATTTGAAAGTGGAAAGGATAGCCCAAGCCTTAAAAGGAAAAGGGCCCATTGTAGTCGATGACTTTGTTCAAAAGACCAGTCTACTTTTCACCCCTCAGATTATGGCTCTACCGTTACTCAAGAAGTTTAAGATGCCTTATCTCAAGAGTTTCAACTGAACTCAGGACCCCCTTGACCACTTAGAAACTTTTAAGTCGCTCATGAACTTACAAGCTATTACAAATGAGATTATGTGCAGGGCCTTCTCTACCACCTTTAAAGGGTCAACTCGGGTTTGGTTTAATAAATTGAAACTGGGATCTATCCACGATTTTGATAAGCTCAGTAAGAAGTTTATTGGGCATTTTATTCTAGGAAGGAGACATAGGAAACCACCTACTTATATATTAAATGTTAAACAAGAGAAAAGGGAGATGTTGCGTGATTTAATTAGCAAGTTTAATACCGAGATGTTACAGGTTGTTGAAGTGGGTGACAAGGTGGCTCTTACAGCCTTCATGGGAGGGCTACAACTTTCCAAATTCTTGTTTTCTCTGTCAAAGGATCCACCAGGTACTATTGCAGAACTATTGATTAAGGCACAAAAACATATGAACGCTAAAGATGCCTTGAATTCTCGAAAAAATAAGGAAGCCAATGATAAGAAAGGAGACAAAAGGAGGCTGACTGCCAACTCCAAAGATGAGAGAGACGCCAAGTTTAAGAAACATGCTAGCGATAGGCACAGGGGGTATAATAGCTACACCAACTTTACTCTCTTGAACACTCAAATCAGTTAAATCCTCCTACAAATCTAAGATGATTTCACTTTAAAGTGGCCCGCCAAGTTGAAATCAGATCCAACAAGGAAGGCGAGGGATAAGTACTGCATGTTTCATAGAGATTATAGTCACACTACAAACGAGTGCTTCGACCTGAGGAACCAGATAGAAAGCCTAATTCGCCGAGGACAGTTGCGCAGATACATGATTGATCGTGAGAAGAACGTGAAATAAGAGTGATTTTAGGAGGATTTGTTGGTGGCGGAGAATCAAGCTTAGCATGAAAAACCCCATGAGGAATGCTTTCTCTTAATTGGGAACCAACTCGTTAGAAACCCTGCGAAGGAGACAGCTGGATCACCCTTGGAGCGCAGAACACCTTATAAAGTACTAATAGTGAAGTTGAAGTCCAACATTAGCATTACTTTTAGTTTTATGTTGCATAGTGCTAGTTTCGTATCGTTTTTTAGCTTTATTTTTCATATTTAATTGGCTTTACAACTAGATAATAGTTCGAATCTTAATTAAGTACATTTTAGTTACACAAACTTTTGATATGGTGTTTGTCTTTAATTTCAATTTGTTTTAACATTAAAGCGTCATGTACTATAAGAGCCGTGGCTGAATGAATCCCGTAATTCTCGTCTCCGTATTATAAGGGATTAATATTAAGTATTCCGTGATATAGGGGTCCGGGCTAAATGATTCCCGTAATTCTAGTCCTAGTGTTATAAGGGATTAACATTAAATACCCTGTACTATAAGGGTCCGGGCTAAATAAATCCGATAATTATCGTCCCCGTATTATAAGGGATTGACATTGAAGTGCTTTGCATTACAAAGGTTTGGGTTGAATGAATCCCGTGATCCTCATCCTTGTAAGGGACGATGCCCCGTATTAAAGTGGTAATAGGCATACCACCAATCTTATCTTTGAGAGAGAACACCTTGATCATGTGTCACCATCCACCTCTTAAAGAAGTGCACCGCCACATGTCAGCATGCCACCTGTTTGAGGTCCTTCCTGCCTTTTAGGCAGCTTTCCTCTAACCACCTCACATCAAGTTCGACCTCGCATCATGGCAACGTGCCACCTCGCCACGTGGCATCCTCTCACTTGGGTTAATCTGTACTGTAGATCAAGGATTAAGTTAAAGATGGAAAATTGAGAAAGTGAAATATTTTATAGTTCAACCCAAAAAACAAAAGAACAAATGTCAAAAGCTTGCCCTGATGTTCAAAGTAGTATACCTGGTTTTTTTTGTATATAAAAATAATTATTATAATAATAATTAAATAAATAAAATTATAAAAAATAATTCTTATAACTGCCTTGAATACTAAACAATTAAACATATTAAAGAGTACTGTTGAAAATAAGAGATTTAGAAGCTTCTATGCAAACAGACTTGTAAAGATGTTTTAATAGAATCAAATATAAAATTCTTTGCAGATATTCGTATAAGACATCTAAAGCCTCAGTGGGAGTTTAATTCTAGGGTTTATCTTCTTTCAATTCCATTTTTGCTGGGCTTAATTCAGAGGGAGACAGAAAACAATTAATATCACATATTTACAGGAAAACAAATCACAAAAAGATGAACAGAGTTTTATTGAAGTGGATAAAATGCATTGATGCAATGGCTTAAATTAATGAACAAAGCAGAGAGTTGGTATTTTTCAAAGATTAGGTAGTTTAGTCACTGGCTTGAAAATAAACTTTTATAACTTAGGAAATGGTTAGTCTTTAAATGAGGTTGTTTGGAAATTGTATGCTGATGACTTTTCGACTACTTGTAAGCTCTAAGGCAAAAAATATGATTTAACAATAAGATAACCTAACAAACGTAACATAAATGGATAAAATAACATGAAAAAATTAAGAAAAAGTAATTAAATTAAAGCATTAAAAAAAAAAGAAATATCACCTAAACCAGATGTGTAACCAGATGGAAGATGTTATTTTAGATAGCCCAATTTATTTAGCTGGTTGTACATTTGCAATAAGATAGTGATGCTTTATGTTAATTTTTAGTTGTCAAATCTTTCTTTAATTACTTTACAGAATTTCTACTCCTATTCCCACTAAATTAAATTTCAAAGAGTTATTGCAAACCAACTGATATAAAAGCACTCAACAAAACAATACTAAAATAAAAGCAAGGGAATTAATTATGGAAAAAAAAAAAAAAAAAAAAAGGGAATGAGGGGAGACGGAATTTGTGCAGCATGCATACAGCATAACAAAATCAAATGAAAAGACATTAATATTTAAATAAAATTCATGTCTTTTCTCTTTTGCCTTATGATAAGAATATGCAGTAAAGAAGACAAACTAAAAACCAAATAGAAGATCTTTTAGCATTCTTTTGAAATTGGAGACACAAGGTTTTTCGTCTTCTTTAAGCTAATGTACATGCATAGTGAAGTGTTCAACTAGAGACAAGGGGTATTCCACATCTTGTAACGTTGAGGATATTTTTCACATCACACACTATTTACTATGCATGTACTTTCACGCTCTAAAGGATTGCAATTAGAGTACATTAGAATATTAGGTTTTGGGTTGAAAGAATGGGAAAATAAGCATTGTAGCCAATCAAGCATAAAAATTCTCATTATATTCTATCCTTTATAAATGCGAGTTCATTGTCAACAATGTTGACCCTATGTTGAGCATAATCATCCATTAAAGTCAGTCCTAGATTGAGCTTAATCATCCATTTAGAAAAATTTCTCCTACCATTTAAGAATTTGGGTCAACTATATGTCGCACAATTTGAATGTAGACATTATTTTCCTCCACCTATCTCTTATTTACAAGATGTGCCATATACAATTTATTAGGTATGATCATCTAAAGGATCAAGTAGAGCAAAAAGGCTAAGGTGTGAAAAAAGGGGAAGGAAGAAGTTGAGAGAAAATGGAAGGCGAGCAAAGCGAGGCAGGCAACAAAAACTAAGAGGGCAACAATGTAAAACCAAGCAGCAGAAACTATGATTGCAACTGGGCTATTTAAAGGACAAAGACAAACTGGGCTATAGAAAATAACAACCAGCAGGAAACAATATTCCAACAGAAACAAAAATGCAAGACAACACTATTCTTCCACCAGCAGGCATATTTTCTAAATGCAAACAAACATAAAGCATCAATTTCAAAACATCAGAATTTCAGCCAAGATCATAATCATGGATATTCCATACAAGCTTGAGCCAAATATTAGAACGGGCAAGTTTAAACTCCATCCAGTCTAAGTAGTCTAAATCTAACAGCATTGAAAATTGCAGCTTGCAAATAAAACATGCATAAACACGTAAAAATTATATTTATATCATTCATAAACGTATAAATTCACATATATAATATTAAACAATTACCTCTGAAAACAAGTACGACTAAGTTCTTCTAACAAACTTGGCAGGCCATGCAAATATTCCTCCCTTAGCTTCTTAAAGCTAAATGTAGTGTCTAACATACTTGCGGTCTTGCAAAAGCTAGCAAAAACAAAAAAAAATTAACATATTCGAATTATTGTAATTCTGTTTTTTGTTATACAGTCCTATATTTTCACTTCCAGAATTATACCATATGTGTTTAGCTAAAATAAAGAGGAAAAAAAAAAAGGCAGAAAAATAATAAGAGATGAATATGAACAAACAAGCAAAAAAAAGTACGTAGTAAATGACTAATAGAAGAACTTAATTCAAAAACGTGAGGAACAAAAACCAAATGCAAATTTGGGACCCATTTTCATCCATTACGCAGAGAATCTGTTCACCTTTAAAATTTGCCAAAAAAATTTAATGCTGCAAAAGGGTATAAGGACTCCATTCAAACAAACAATGGCCCATTAACTAAGGAATACCACTATATAGCAATGTTTTATATTATACCAGCACTGTACGATAAAAAAAAAAAAAAAAAAAAAAAAAAAAAAACTACTAGTTGAATCTGCACTCAGAATTCAATTAGAGCTAAACTATATAGAGTGTTTATGCAGTCTAAAGTCTATTTGACTATGGCCTTTCCTACAATAGGTAACAGAGTTGCAAGTAAAGACTACTAGTTGTGATATTTTAAGTGATGTTATATATTAAAGAGGAAAAATAAAATAAAAAGGGAGAGAAGAATTTTATTACTAGATCAAGCCCAAAAAGGGAGACAACCTAAACTTCCACTCTCTATCAAAAATAGGACCTAAATCATGCTTTCAGGGGTTTGCTTATATGCTTTGTGCTAGTTTATCTCACAAAAAAAATTTCAAAGATTAGGTTAATGATTGCAATTTTGAATTTCTGTGAACTGTAATACTGAGATGAAAAACCCCTTGTCCGTGAGAAAGAGGGAAGACCATGAGAAATAGAAAAGATGAGGCTCTTACCGGTGGTGACGACGATCGTAGGTCGGCGGGGTGAGAGAAATGAGCGTGAATTGCAGACATAGTAGACGTTTGGTTGGAATTAGGGCTTGAGTGGTTTTTTTATTTTTTTATTTTTTTGGGGTACTGGTGCGAAATTTTAAAATAACCTCAAAAAATTCGAAGATTAGGTTAATGATTGCAATTTTGAATTTCTGTGAACTGTAATACTGAGATGAATTAGGATAAAACACAAAAAAAAGAAAAAAAAATTCGTCCAGAACTATTGATCAACCAGCAACAAATTCCCCGAAATTACAAAACTTGAAAAAAAAATAATTTACACAGACTTTTCCGCTCTTACTTTTAAAAATATCTTACATTTAAAAATATCATACACAGACCTCCCTTATGTGTGACGGGCCATTAAATACATTAATTAATTTGTCAAAATTATTAAAATACCCTAATATTATTATCTTAAATTACTAAAATACCCATAAATTTTTTATAAAACTGACGTCATATATATATATATATATAGATTTTTTTTTTCAATTCATGTACTTTCCCAGAACTCGCTGGAGAACGAAGAGGTCGAAACTAAATCCATTAACGGCGGTCACGGATTTGCTCGCGAAATCAAAGAACATGCTGTTAGTATTGCTGAATTGAAGGCAAAAATAGCTGGACGGACTACTGACTATAGTTTCGATCTCGGGGCGGGATCCTGTCAACACAGCTTCAGGCTGGTGGAATTTGCGGGCTACTTCGTTTCATAGTGCCCTGTCCTGAAATGCAGAAAGGAAGGTTTTTGTTCCTCTACCCAAAGTCTCAGTCGAGAGCGAAGTAGAGATTGTTTTGGCAGTCCGTGTTCCTTCGTTCGTGTCTTGTTACGATCTCTCTAGGTAAAATACAGGATTATATACAGAACAATGTATATAATATATATATATACACACACACATATTTATATTTCTAAAAATTAATGTTTCTCCATATATAAAAATTGTGAATCTCCATATCTAAAATACACACATATTTATATTTCTAAAAATTGATGGGTCTCCATAAATAAAAATTGTGAATCTCCATATCTAAAATACACATATTTATATTTCTAAAAATTGATGGGTCTCCATATATAAAAATTGTGAATCTCCACATCTAAAAATTGATGGGTTTCATCTGGATTTGTAGTGCAATAAAAATAGAAGTAACAAAAGTACCAGCCAGAGGCTACACTTTTTCCCCAATCTACCATCCAACAAATCCCAATCTACCATCCGTGAATGAAGATGACGACTCTAGTGCAACCAAAATAGTTCCTTATAGGATATTATGGCGATGATTTGGTGGTGATGGTTAGCTGCACAAGCCTGTTGGTGAAGTTCAACTTAAGGTTCGTATTGAAATTCCTTCAGTGAGCTCTGTGTAATGGTTATATTGGTAGGGATGAAGGATTTTAGTATTTTTTTTTTTTTTTACTTTTTAGGGTTAAAAATGTCTTTGGCTACAAAGAAGGGTAATATGGGAATTTTAACTTATTCCATACATGACATCAGCAGAATCAGTCGTTGACTGACGTTGACTCTAACAGAATGGAGATTCGTGTAGGATATTTTTAAAAGTAAGGGAGGTCCGCGTAATTTCCGAAACAGAAAAGGTGTTGCCTATAATTATGGCAAACCATAGGGGAGGTCAGTGTAAATTACTCAAAAAAAAAAAAAACCATGGACTATCATGTTTGTTACAGATCACCCCATCTGACGGGCTTTCGATCAAAACTTACCGGCAAAGGACCATGTGGTTGTCATGTGACAAGCAATGTATAATTTAATGACTAAAATGCCCTTATGTGTGGGAAAAGCCTCTAATACCCCTTATTGTAATGATTATTATTACTTAAACACCTTTTCACTATTTGTTACAGCCAAACACTCCTTTAGGCCATTCTGTATATATACGCGTGTGTGTGTGTGTGTATATATATACATCTTCACTGTTCATCTTCTTCACAGCACATCTTCATGTTCATCTTCTTCACAAGGCATGTACTTCTCCTAAATATTATACCCAAACACCTCATAATCCAGTTTTCCCCAAAAATCCCAAATTTCTGTTATAGTCTCTTCCTGATCAATGTGCTCGAACAATTATTTCCCAAAATTTCGTAACTTATATATATATATATATAGAGAGAGAGAGAGATTTCTTCCCCAAAAATCTGTAACATACTTTATGCGTATAATATTTTGTAACCCTAAGTGACTGTTAGAGCCCAATTCCACAATTTCATAATTCTTAAACTGTAGAACCCTAGCCCATTTTGACAAAACCCCAAAATTGAATTCCCAAATCAAGACTATATCAAGCACGAAAGGTATACCAGCGACAACAATGAAGAAGGATAGGCACCGGGGTGATTGGGGTTAAAGAAAAGAATATATATCTGTGTGTATGTGTGTATATATGCATGAAGTAGCGGTAAAGATAATGGCAGAAGTTGGTTGGTGGGTTGGGTTTGTGGGGTTAGATCGATTAGGTTACTGTTCGCTATGAATTATTTGAGTTTCTAAAGAGAAGATTTGGTTGGTGGGGTGGGGTGGGGTTGTAATGACCCGAATCCATAGGTCCGAACCGCTAGCCGGGTTGTTACCCGAACCCGAGGTTACCTAAGTTAATGCCGGCAAGTCTAGTGTCAGTACATCACTCTTACATCATAAATATGCCCCATGAAGGCCCTAAGCCACCTCCCAAGACTCAGGAATAGGTGCACCAAAAGAAGAAACAAGAAGCACCAACAGCAGTATTTCGGTCGACCAAAGTGGAGCTTCGGTCGTTCGAAATGGTTCCTATACCGGTCGACTGAAATGGTCATTCCGGTCGGTCAGTTATGACCCCAACAGTAGATGAAGCTACTGGAATGATCGGTCAACCGAAATGCCCATTTTGGTCGACCGAAATCCCCATTTTGGTCGACCGAAATGGCCCTGTAAGCTGCAAAACTTCAGTTGAACTGCAATGAACCTGAGAATGAACAAATGTCTTTTATGGAGCTTTACATTGAAAGAATTCTACCCAAACATATATGAAATTATTGAATGCAACCTCTCAATACCCAAACACATCATGATACATGATTCATTACATGAATTAACATCCATAATCAAGGTACTTGATGTAAAATAAAGTTACAGGCCATGAAACAAGATCAAAATATATAAAAGAACCATGACTTACAATTGTTGTTACAACATTACACAACTACATTCGGTTAATCACTAAAGTACAAGTTTCATGGTTCCATACAAAAGATAGCAAAATGATAATCCCAGTCCCGTCTAGATTTATGGTGGATAGTTGTCCGCCACTTCTTTTTTCGATCCTAAAAAATGTTAAATAATAGGGTAAGCTAAACACTTAGTAGGAAGTATCTAAGACACACCTCTTATGACCCCGTGAATCCACGCAAAAGAATAGGTAAAAAGGACATCGGGATCGTACTGTACCGGGGATTCAATCCATAACCACAACGTCAAATATACATATTGTAATGACCCGGTCTTTTTCCTCCTTTTCCATTTTGGTTGATTTTCTTTTTTCGTCTTTTTCCTATTTTGTTTTTTCCTTATTTCGTTTTTTAGTCGTTTTTCATTTTTCCTTGCATAACCTCACTTGTTGTGCTCGGATTTGATTCCGATTTGGCATGCATTCATGACATTGGTATTTTTACTTTTCTTGAAAAGCATGCTAGATTATTACTTTTCTTGTAAAGGGCATGAATACATACTTTAATTATTTATAATTTTTGGGGTTTTAGTGTAATTATGTAAAATAATTATTTTTCATTTTGGGGACCTTTTTGCAATTTATTTTAGAAGATATTTTGAAAAAGGACCATTTTGTAATTTTTGGAAAGTGTGACAAGTGTCACATTCTCATGGAGCCATTTGTTGGCATTTAGGTGAAAAGACTTGGCACCATGACTTCTTGACATTTGGTAGGTGAAGATTCATCCATGTGTTGGCCTTAGATTGGTGCACATGTAACCATTGATTGTTGACAAGTGTGGGTCTAGGATTAAGTCTTGAAAGGGGCATTGGATTAGTGACAAGTGTAGGTTCACCATTTAGTCTTGCATTGTGTGTGTGTGAGAGGTAGTGCAAGAACACATAGTGAGTGGAGGATTTCTAGCCCTTCCACTCACCATTTTTTACACTTTACCTTCTTCATTTCATTATCTCTCATGAACCCTAGCAAAGACTCCATTAGAGAAAAGCTTAGTATAGAGCTTTGACTTCACATTTGGCACTCTTCCACTCACCTAGACTTTTGACCTTAGAAGAGAAAAGATTCCTATCACTCTCCTCTTCAAGAATCCTAACCTTGTTTTCCATTTTGTGCTTGGTAGCTTGGATTATAGAGATTCAATTCTCTATTGAGGTAGGGGTGGTAGTATGTTTGTAATCTAAGTGTTTTATAGTCCTTGTGGTTTAATATATATTGTGTACATACTTTTGATATGATAGTATTGCATATTATAGGAAACCCTCACTTCTTGATTTAGGGTTTATTGATTTAAGCAATTATGATATGTGTAAACCATGTGTAGAAGGATTATATAATTTAGTAGATGCTAAATTCTAGTAAATTCACATGTGGTAGTAATATAGAATTCTAGTAGAATTATTAGTGTTATATGCAATTCTAATTGACTTGAATTGCTATATTTTTGTGATAATAATTCTATGTTCTTATGAATTATAAATTGTGATTAATTTATGAGCCTATCGCTAAATGTTGATAATTAGTAAATAGAACTTGTTATTAAGGCATGACTTGAATTGATAAATTTGTGATATTGTATTGTGCATAATATCATGAGGTGAATTTGTCATTTGGCATGCCATTATAGATTTGGAACCCTAAGACATGGTTTGTAAAATGGTGTTTGGCTCCTATCAAAATGACAGCCTCATCGAGCTCTCCGACTTTGCCTAAGGTGGTACCAACAAATTCCCAAAGGCTAGGCTCTAATCAAGCCCTGAAAGCTTGAAGAAAGGAAAATAAAAGGAAAATGTAGAGGGAGAGAGATACAGCCGGGGATAGAAATAGAGAGAGAACAATGAGGCTAAGAATGGCCTCTTGGCCACTAAAGGGTTAGTGGTGGGTCCTACCACTAAAATACAAAAATATCTATCCTTTTCTTTTCCATATATATATATATATATATGCAATTAATTTCAACCACACAATTTATTTAACTTACAACTAAACAATTATGCACAAAATAAATATGCAAGAAGTGTAATG